CGTTGGCAGTGGACTCTTGAGTGGGCCGCTGCCTCCTGCATTCTGAAAGCCCGCTGGAATGTAAGAGGGTCTTCCTTAGGAACAGGAATTCCACACACACACACAAACACACACACGCACGCACACACGCACACACCCTAAACGCAATAAATCCTAAACCCTAAACCCTAAACCCAACTAAACTGGTCTCCTCAGCCAGGTCCAGGTCCACCTGTTCGTACAGGAAGCTCGCCACGCTGCACGCGCTCAGCGCGATGCTGAAGAGTTGTGTGAACCCCTGGCCTGGGGTGAGAACCTGTGATGCGGTCGGTGAGATAATGCAGGGGCCCCAGTAATATTAAGAATAATAATACTAATAATAACAATAATAGTGTTTTGGGATATGCTATACTATAGTTCGAATAAGGAACCCCCCAAAATAGTATAGGTCATTATTTAGGCCCCTGTATCATGGTCTTTTAGGGCTTAGGGTGGTTATCGGCATTGAAGTCTTAGTTACGACGCTGTCCATCGCGATCGTGCTTAGCTACCTTGAATGGAAGACGTTTTAAGCCGCGTGGGTTGGAGACTATGACAGCCTCTGGCTGGGACGTGTGACACATTCTCGAATCTGGGAAAAGTTGGGCGCAAACTAAGAACTCAAAGAAACCAGTAGACCCTAGACCCTGAACTCAACAACACATAAACCCAAACCCTTGACTCCGTCTTACGCCATAGAAAGGCTGCTTGTGACGGAGCCCCGGCACGCAGTAGTTGAAGGAGTAGGAGGTCAACGCCAAGCTCAAGACACCCTCGAAGCCCTTCCTCAGGGGCTGATTTGTCTGTGCAGGTTCTTAGAGATTTGCCGACGAGGGTATTTCCAAGCCGTGAGTATAGGGTGCTTGCTGCTTTAGACAGTCTACAAGAAGGATATGTCCTAGCCAGAAGGACGCGGTGCTTTATCCTTTAGAGAAAAGTCTTCATAGGATTTGGGGGTTTAGAGGTTGGGTTTCAGGCTCTGCTTTCGGTGATCAGGTCTCGCCGTCTTTGCCAGTGATGGAAGGCTATCCCTATAGGCCTCCAATTTACTGAAATAGTAGATTACTAACCATAGAATAATATCACCCTGTGACCCATTATCTTGGCAACTGGAGCCCTAACCGCAAACCCTAAACCTCAAACTCCAACACCCTATACCCTAATCCCTAAAAACCCGAAAGCCCTCAACCCTAAAACCCCAAAACCCTGAAGCCCTGAAGCCCTAAACCCTAACCTAAACCCCCAAAAGTAGGTGAAATAATGGCCCAAAACCTCTAAAAGGCTATTCTTCTACATACTTTTGGGGTCCGGGTATGGGTAAGGAACCCTAAACCCTAAACCGTAGGTAGAGCCTAAACCCTAACGGGCTACCGACTTTAGGGATTCGACCCTTGTCTCAGCCGAGGCGTCTCTTCGTTGAGGAGGTTCAGCAGGTCGTTGCGGATGATGCCTCGGGTCGGGTAGGGTTTATAGAAATTGTTAAGGGTTTGGGTGCCAATAACGTTTTGACCGAAACGTTTTGACCGAAAGTTTTGGGCAGTTTTTTTTGGAACCACATTTTGCATCTGCGGCTGGGTGCTGGGCAGGGTGGAGGGGCTGGGCTGGCCTGGGCTGATCTCGACACTCCTAACCAAGTGGTCCGGAGGGTTCAACGCTTCGTTTTCGGTTGGAACGCAATGTGGAGGGGCTGGGCTGGCCTGGGCTGGGCTGCTGGGGCTGGCATTTTGGATTGGGGGAGGTGCTGGATTGGGTGCTGGGCAGGGTGGAGGGGCTGGGCTGGGAGCTGGGCGGGCTGGGCTGGGGGCCTGGGCGGGGGGGCGGGCTCTGGTAGGGGGCTGGGCTGGGGGTGTGGGTGGGGAGGTGGGCTGGGTTGGGCTGGGTTGGGCTGGGCTGGGCTGGGTGAGCAATCCTGAAACGGAAATTGGAACGGAAATTGGTTTATTCGAAAATGGAAAGGTGTGTCTCCACCGAAAAAATGAGCTTCCGGATGGTTAACAGCAACAAGCAATTTCTATTTATTTCTGTCTTGAGGGTTTAGGGTTTAGGGTTTAAGGTTTAGGGTTTAGGGTTTAGGGGTTTAGGGTTTATTGAGCTTGCTTCGTGTGCGGGGTGCTGTTTTGAATTCTTTAAACTAGGGGGTTTTTCGGAGTTTTGCCGAATTTCTCGGAGTTTTGCCGAGTTTCTCGGAGTTTTGCCGAGTTTCTCGGAGTTTTGCCGAGTTTCTCGGAGTTTTGCCGAGTTTTTATAGTTTCCGAGTTTCGATCGCATTATGGGAATTTTTCAAACTCTAGACTGTCGATCGCATTATGGGAGTTTTTTAAACTCTAGACTGAGGGCCTGAGTTTATTAAACTTTAAACTGAGGCTGGGGGTTTCTTAAACCCTGAACTGGGAGTTTCTTAAACTCAAACTGAGGGTTTCCTAAACCCTAAACTGGGAGTTTCCTAAACCCAAAACTGGGACTATTCTAAAAAGAATTTTTTTTCGTAATTTTCATTAAATTCTTTAAAAATCGTAAATATTCACAACCGTGATCCTGGGGGGCGCTGCCCCCCAGACCCCCCGCCAGGACTCCTCGCCCTGGACCCCGGCCCCGCACGCGCACTGGGGCGGGCGCCATGGGGACACCCCCTGGACCCCCGAAAAGAGTGTTGCCCAGGTTTACAGAGCATCCCTATTAAAAGCTTGCGAGAGCAACCCAGCCCAGCCCAGCCAAATTTCAAAATATGGTTCCAAAAAAGAAACTCCTCTGTCATCCTTTTTAAAGGCCTTATTTGGGGGACCCAAACCCTTAACAATTTCTATCGAAGTCTGCAGATATGCAGGAAAGCTACGTTTAGTGCTACAATAAAGAGTGTCTGAACCGGAAACATTTTCTTTGGTGGTAGGCCGTGGGATGCACTTTCATGCCAG